GTGGGAGCTGCCTGGGGGGCTGCCCTGTGTCCCCCCAGATTTCTGGGCTGGAGAATGGAAAATTTTCAGGATAATGAGAAATTTTGCTTTGGGAAAAAAAATAGCCGTTATTTGCATTTTCGGTCAGGTCGCTATCAGAACCAAATCTGGGCTTATGACAGCCAAACCCCGTCTCTCGCTGGCTCGGCATCAGCGATATGGGAACCGAGGGGAAGGGACCAAGGGGCTGCAGAAAAGGTCTTACGGCAAGAGACGGGACCATTGGGTTAGCAGGCTCATAAATCAAATCAAGGGGGAATGGGGGGGGAACGCTTGATTAAAGCATCTAAATACTCTTGCAGAGGAGAAAATACATGGTAGCCAAAAGCTCCTTAATTGAGCAGAGAAAAGCAAGACAAGAATCAGTGTCTGGCCCCTGAAGCCAGACACATTGGATATAAGGCATAAATATTTAACCGGCGGGAGCAATTAATCATGGGAAGCAATGGCGAGCAGCAGAGGTGGGCTCAGCATCTCTTTGCCTTTCACATCACGACCCGTCACCTTGCGGAAAGTTTCTCCCATCGCTTCCCCCATCACCCCAGCGCTGGACGAGGGAGAGCAGGCTGGATCGAACCCGCACCGAGGCCCTGATTAGGTGATTTAATTAGACGGTGCTTTTGTCTTTAATCATGGAGGAGCCACAGAAAAGAGTATTTCTTGTGCCCTGCTGGCTTTTTCTGAGAAACATCCCTGAAATCACCGCAGGCGCTTTGCAGGTGCTTCTTTTTTCTTTCTTTTTTGGTTACCGCTGATCGTGTCCCGCAGATCTGTGCTGGGTAGATGAGGGGACAGTGCTTGGTGGCTGTTCTTGATGTCCAGCAAAATAGAATGAAATTCAGGAAAAACAAATCTCAGTGAGCATCCCAGCACGCTGTGGCTGCTGAGAGAAGGAGCTGGTCCAGGACTCGTTATCCACCCATGGGTGAGAGGGTCCCCAGCCTGGCGTCCTCAGGGACATGTGTACTTGGGAGAAGGAGGTAGAGGTCCTGAGGCTGTATCTGGTCCCCATCTCCTCCCCATTGCTTTTCCTTTCCAACAGCGTTTCTTTTCCTATAGCTGTTCCCTCCCTGTCTCTTTGCGATGGGGTAGATGCTGTCGGTGGGCATCACCGTGGCTGGGTTTGCTCCATCTCCATCCCAAGGCTGCCGTGTTCCTGCTGCGATGGAGCCTGAGTTTGGGGCTGGTCTGGTTTTTCCCATCTTCAGTGGGGATGGATGAACATGTGCAAATGCCTGTCACCGGCCACGCATCCCCTGTGGGCTGTTTAGTTTGAGGCAGGGGGGAATGTAGGGAGATGCTGAGCTGTAGGGCTTGTATGCAACTCAGTGACCTGTATGCAAATGCAACGCCTGTTGGCAGTGGAGTCGAAGCATCTCTGAGCCTTCCAAAGCCACCTCCCTGTGAGCAGCTGATGTCTGTGAGCAGCCCAGGACCACTCCTCCTCTTCCTCTTGCAGAGGCACGACGGACACCTGCCTGGGATGATGCACGATGGGGCAGAAGGCCCATTTTGAGGAAGAGGATGAATGGAAGGAGAAAAGGCACGTGAGAAGGATGGCAAGGTAAGGGGAGGCTTTGCCTGGGTGCTGGGTCGGGGCAGTGGGAAGGAGCTGCTCACCCATGGTGGGAACAGGAACCTCGGAGCCTGCAGGAAAGTCCCCACCAGTTGCAGAGTTGCTTGTGGCAATGAAAGGACATGTGGTGGCCACATGAATACCAAAAGCATTTGTCATAGCTCTGCAGAATAAATTCAGGCAGTGCTGGCTGGGGAAAATAGCAGGTTCTGGTGTGGCTAGGCACAGCATGCGAGGAGGTGGAGAATACCTGATGGAGATCCCGCCGGGAGGCAATCACAGGCTTTTGGCTAATTTCTGTATAGTCGTTAGCTGAGACGATGTCACTGAATGCTGAAGAGAGGGACTCTTTGGAAGGTCTGGGTCATGCCTCTGTAACTGCAGGCATGTCCCCTGCAGTGGCACATATGGGGAACTGGGCTCCCTGTGGTGAGGAGGGGGCTCGCCCGGGCAGGGGAGATCCAGCAGCACGCATCCCACCGATCTGCAGGAAGATGTGCCCAAACAGTTAATGCCCTTGCTGGCTTGTCCCCAGGTGGCCAGGTCCAGCTGGAGCATCCCTGTTCTCCCAGCAGGACCCAACAGCATCGCACGTACCGCGGTTTTCTCTTTAGCCTCCTCGGAGATGCCAGTGACCGGTGTGCCTGAGCATACGGATGCAGGAAGAGCCCATCTCGTTACCATTTTATCATGTCCATTTGAGTCCTCGAGGGGATTAGGACCATGCATCACACTGTCTTTGGGATAAGGCTGCGATTTCTCAGGTGACCTGGGCTGGTCCTGGTGAAATCGCACCAGTGTTTCTCCAGATGTTGAATAACAGGGTGAGCAGGCTAGAAGCTTCTTTTAATCCAGGCTTCGTATTTTTTTACCTGTGAAATGCCTTTGCCCTTGCACTCTGCAGAAGCTGCATTTGATGGAAAGAGCAGGAAAATAGCTGAGCTATAAATAACGTATTTAAAACCAGGCAGGGACTTGCGAGAAGTGAGGACGGTGTCTCTGCCTGTGTTGTGGGCTTGGAGGAATGATTTTACCAGCAGCAGATGTTAGGTTTCCCTTGTGCTGGAGGTGGTTCAGGGTGGAGGAAATTAAATCCATGAACTGAAAACAGTGATTTGATGACAAAGTTTTATCTTTTGCATCCATGATGGCAAGGTCTCATAGGGACACTGGGGGAGTTTTTCTTCTGCCCGATGTTAATGAGGGCTGGCGGGGCCATGCTCAGCCTGAGGAAGCCGTTCTTGAACCCGACTGTCTACCAGTGCCCTGACCTGCTCCCCAGGTCGGATCTGCCCCAGCGCTCCCAGGAGATGTCACACAGCAGACATGAAGGGATGTCCCCAGCCTAGAGCAGCAGCAGCTCCAGGCTCAGCTAGAGGAGGAGCAGCAGCATGGGGGGAGCCATAGCTTTAACCTGCCTCAGTTTCCCCAGTTGCAAGGTGGGAGCAGGAACAGCCTTCCCCAAACCCAGCGAGTTGTGGTGAAGTTGTTGGGGCCGATGATCAGCTGGCGAGGTACAAAACACAAGATGCTAAGCTCTGCTTTCCAGGCTGATGGCTAAGCCCAGTTTCGGTGAGCCAGGCAGCAGCGATGTGCCAGGGCCGGGGTGGCTGCTGGCTCCCCTCCTCGCCCCACAGCACCCGGATGGCCACTGTGTCCTCACTTTCCGAGCCGGGGGGGTGGGAAGCAGGACAAGCCCCAGAATTTTTGTGGTCCTGGTGGGATAGGTGGGAAAAGGGGTAACTTGGGGTGCAGCAGGATCACGCAGCTCCCAGGCACATCCTGCAGCCTCAGCGCTTGCTGGTGCCTCAGTTTTCCCATCTGCAGCTTTCAATGGGTCTCTCGTCCTGGGATGGGGAGTTGTATACCCTGCAGAAATCCTCTGTGCACAGCAAGGAGGTTGTTTCTGGGTTAGAAGGTGACCTCTTCCATTAGAGGCAGGGTTGCTTTCTTCCTGAATTAGATGGTGGTTTGGAGGCTTTCCAGGGCCGACCTCATTCTGCCTGATAGCACTGGGTTTGCTCCGGCAGCAAGACCCTGCCTAAGAGAGATGCAGAAAGCTGCCGGCATCCCGCCTGTCCCCGGCCATGCACGGCTGGATCGTGCCAACTGCCGCATCAAAGTGCTCCAATAGCTGCAAATGGGGCATTTTGGGGGTCCCCTGCGTCGGCACCAAGTGCCTGCCCATGCCCATTCCCTGCATGCAGGCTGCACTTGATAAATCTGGAGGGGAGGGAAATCCCTGTCCTGTCTGAATCAGAAATGCTCAAATTCTCTTTCCGGACCTTCTGGGCCAGCAGTTCCTGGTGCAGCCGGTGGCGTTATCAGTGCCGTGCAAACGCCTGGTGTTTGTGCATCCAGGATGCAATTCCAAAGCCGGCCCAGATGCCAGCAGTGACATCGGGCAGGACTGCTGTCTGCCCAGAACCAGAAGAGCATTGTGGTTTCCAGCCCATTCCCAGGGACCGAGGTGCACCAGGAGCCATCGCGTGGCCATGGCCACCTCTCCTCCAGTTGGTGCCCATCCTGGGCTGCCCCACGCAGCCCTGCCCTGGCCAACATGACGAGGGCAGCGCTGTCAGCGATGCCACCGCCAGCTTTAACATCCTCTGCAAACTAGCAACAGCCAAGAGATTTGCCAGAGTCAGGACATTTTTAGAAAGGCTAATTAAAGCCCATTTTCACCCTGTGCCTCTCAGTGAGCAAAAGCATTTAGCAGTGACCTCAGAGTGATTGAATTTGCACTTGAGCTTTCTGTTTCACCTCTAAAAAATGGGATTGCTCTGTAAACTCGTTAGTGAAAGTAACTCCTGACGCCTTGGCTCCTGACTGCGATGGGCCTCGCCACATCCTGCTGGGCTCTGCTCTCCTCCTGCTGCATTTTGCTTGGACAATGGGGACGTCTTAATATGCGTGATGGAGAAACTTGGGATCACTCCAGGCTATTTCTCAGGGGCAAATCCATCCTGGGGTTACTGTGCTGATGCCAAGGAGCCTGGCTGAGCTTGGCCGCTGGTGTTTTGGGTTGCACAAGGGAAATGGCCCTCCCTCGCTGCTGTCCCTTTCCACCTTGGAGGTGACAGTGGCTCCTCTGTGGCCACCAGCCAGTTCCTGCTTGCGCTTCCCTGCTGCACATCTGGCGTCCAAACTGCTGATCTTTCCCTTTTTCCTCTTTTCTGCTCAGCTGTGCCCCATGACGACCTCACGCACGATGTTTTATGGGTCCTCCTCCACCATGGCTCCACCATCCAAGAACCGGCTGAAGCGCCAGAGCCGGATTTTCTCCCAAGTCTTGTACCGGACACTGAGCTACAAGGACCGGAGCTCAGCCTCTGCTTCCCCAGCAGCCAGGGAAGATGACCCAGCCGAGCTCTCCACCCAGCTCTCAGCCCCTGGTGTCCTGAAGATCTTTGGGGGCAACATCTGTGCAGGCACCAACTACAAGAGCGTGCTGGCAACGGGCAGCTCGGGTGCACGGGAGCTAGTGAAGGAAGCCCTGGAGCGCTATGGGCTGAGCCAGCTCAGCGCCGGGCAGTATGCCCTGTGCGATGTCATCGGGAGGTTCGAGGGCCCTGAGAAACGGTGGCAGACGGAGGGACTGAGGGTCCTTGGTGACCACGAGAAGCCGCTGCTCATCCAGGACCTCTGGAAGCCCAGGGAGGGCTTCTCACGGCGGCTGGAGCTGCACAAGAGGGCAGAGGCGGAGGCGCTGGCGGCCAGGGACGTGGACACCACCACCGCAGGTCAGAGCCGGGTGCGGGGCAGGGAGGGGGTCTGGGGAGCTGCAACCCACCCCCCCAGGCTGCCTGCAGGAGATGCACCCCACACCCGTAGCTTTTGCCTATGTTTTAGGCAAGGGGTGGTGGTGCCAGTGCTGTGGGGGAGGAGAGCCGTGCTTTAGCTGCAAAGCCCTTGGGTAGAGTTGGCACTTGGCATTCTCCTGCATTAATTTGATACCCACAACCTCAAATATTTACCGCAGCCGGTCTAGGGGTCCATACCAAATCCCTACAGCTCAGCAGCAGCAGGTAAGACCATCGCTGTTGCCCACTCTTCCCATTGCCATGAACCAGCATCACGGCATCCCACGCCTCAGCGCAGCTTCATGCCTGGCAGAGCACTGTCCCACTCCCCACACCCCCTGTCCCACCTCCCCACGGGTGTCCCCCAGGCCAGACACCCCAGGCAAATCTGCAGGACCAATTAAGCAAAATTAAAAGCTAGTGAAGAGCTTTTGTAGGGCAGGAGAGCCCCCCTGGAGGTGCCTGATCAAGCCCAGGGCTGGCAGGAGGAGATAAGTGCATCATTAGGAACCGGTAGGTTAATAAGTGACCCCAGCGCAGAGTAATGAAGTTTCCCCGCTTCTGCCCTCAGCTAAAAACCCTGTGAGGATGAGGGTGGGAAGGTTTAAAATCAGGTTTTTAATTGCATGATGTCCTTGATGGGTCTGACCTGCTGATGGAAGAGTCTGGATCAGGCTCAGGAGGTGTTGGCTGATGCATTTTGCTGGGATGGGCACTGAGTGGTTCCTCATGCCTGTAGGAAAAAGTTGTGATTGTCAAAAATAACCTAACGATGATGCAGGATTACCTTGGGTACTCGGCAAACGAGAGCCAAGGTTCCCCCACCAGCACTGGAACAAATGGCCCTTTCTTTCCCACCCACTTTAATAAGGGCCAGGAGGAGCCCAGGCACGCAGGAAACCAGCCATGGGCATTTCGGGGGAGAGCAGATGCTGCTGGGGTCCCGCCAGCTGGAATTCGCAATCTCGATTTTGCATGGGTACCACAAAACCTGAGCATGGAGTTTGCAGCTTTGGGGGTTGCTTTTGTTGTGGGCAGGTCCCCATCAGTGCGGGGAGCAGAGGACAGGCTCACCTCCTGCCTTGAAATGGGAAGGATGGAGGAGCAGCAGAAAACAGCCCCCAGCCCTCGTATTAACGCTGGGCAGAGCAGTCCAGTGGCAACTGGTGGTGAGACAGGGCTCCCTCCATCCAGCCCTTGTATCTGCTCGGGGAGGGGATACTGCAGGTCCCCGCTCGCTGCATGTGTGATGCAAATGGAGAGAAAGGGGCTCAGGCCTGGGATGGATTTGCAAAGGTGGATGATCCGCTCATCTCTTTGGCTCTTTCTCCAGCTGGGATCAGAGAGCCGTTAAGCACTTTGGGAGAGTGATGACAAAAACCAGCTTCTTTTGAGCAGAGGAAAGGGCAAGAGCCGAGCGCAACCGTTATAGCACACGGCGGGGAGGGCCACGTGGCAGCTCCCTGCCTGAGCCCAAGGTCACATCAACTCTCGGCCTCAAGTTCTCCCCCTCAGATGCAGGAAGCAGCATTCCCACCTGTGACCTGGATCCTGGGTGGGCTGGCAGCCCTGGGGAGGGGAGGGCTCCCACGCAGGCCAGGGGAGAGGCAGGCTCCAGGCTGCCCTGTGTGGGAGCAGGCAGCACCCAACTGGTCTGGGCTCGGCACCCTTTGGTGATTTCTGATGGAGGAGCAGTTCCTGACCGGATTGCGTGCCCTGGATCTGGAAATAAGCCCATTACGCTTTCAATGTAGATATCACTTCATTTGTTTCAGCACTCCTGGGTGGGGTGGTGGAAATTCTCCATTTTTTAACCTTTGGGCATTTTCCATAGCTGACCAAGCTCTTCTGAGACAGAAAACCTACACCCACATCTGTTTAGGCTGTCTGCTCTGCAGGCTGCACAGCCCTTATTTGTCTTACCTGTTATTAAAGTCCTGCAGCCCTTTCTTTTGGTGGCACCAGGGGCTCTGTTGCCAGTCTCACCCCATGCTGGTGGCACTGCCCAAAGGGATGCTGTGGGGCTGGGACCCCCCTTCCCCGCCCCAGCCGCAAGCTGCTGGGGATGGATGGGAGTGATACAGCAGGTCAGGGGGAGGCATCTGCTTCCCCCTCGTCCAGCATCCCAAAAAGACACAAAACTCCTGATGTGGTGGGGACTGACTGTGAGTGCCCTCCACAGGGGTCACCCTCACCACCAGCCTCAAGCTGGCAGAGGTCCCCTTGCTGTTGAGCATCAGCTGCCTGCCCAGGGTGCTGGGGTGGAAAATGCAGCATCTGTGCAAAAATAAAGGGACTACGGGCTTGTGGCTCCCGGGGGGGGAGAACACAAACACAAAACCCCACAAAACCAAAAAAAAAAAAAAACCATAGGGATGCTGCAAAGCAGAATCCCTAGGGAAATACCTGCAGGGCTCTTCCTCACACACGGCAGCACTGGAGCTGCAGGGCTGGGACCACTGGCATCACACAAGCTGGTGCATCGCTGCCCAGCCTGCTGCCGAGCTGGGGGAAAGGCTCCACACCCATCCATGGCCTCTTAGCAACTACCTTAAGAGTTTTATCTGCTCAGTTACCCATTATCCTAATTAGTTTATTAGCTGCTTCCCACGGGAGAGGAAGGCGCTTGTTCCTCAGGCCACTAATTAGCAGCACAGGTAGAGCATCTCTGTAGTAAACGAGGCTGATCCCCTCTCTCACTGCTACCCCCAGCCCTGCTGCTTTTGGGGAGCATCTGGGGAAAACACCCACAAACTAGCGGGTGCTGGGCAGGGGGGGGGGAACACGCAGCACTTGGCATCTTTATGGCATTCATCTTCCAAACCAGCTCCGTTTTGCACCGTGTCCAAAGCTTGCCGGGGCTTTCCTGCAAGGCTGGAGGCTGGGTGGTGTGCACACCTGGAGAAACTTAGGAGTTAAGGCTGTTATACTCAAAGGTGCTCTGCCAGGTGCCCCTGAGGATCTGGCTCTGATGTACCTTAGCACGACTACATCCAGGGAGGACTCCCTGCAGGGACTGAGTAGCAATTACGTTAGGAAGGACTAGCCCGGCGTTAGCCCCTCCTGGGTAAATTCAAAGCATTTCTTCTTTCCTGGGGCCCATGAAGTTATTTATCGCTTGATTTATTTCTCAGCCAGGAAAAGGCTCTTTCCTAGGCTGAGAAAGAGGCAGATCCCAGCCAAGATCCCAGGCACCAGCAGCTTTTCTTGTGGGATGCAGAATGGGTTTAGAGGCAGGAGCTTGGCAGGGGCTGGCTGGGGGGTGCGTGGTGCCCCTGCCCGGGGTGCCCCGCTCTCCCAAAGGGACGGGGTGCTGTCCTGCCCCGTTCCCACCCGCGTTACCATGTGGCTTCAGCAGGTGCCAGCTCTGCCCCGGCCACGCTGCATCAAGGATGCTCACACAGTGTTTTGGGTGGGATAACCTGCACATGCTCGGGAAGAGAAAACAGTACCGGGGACAGAAAAAATTCCCCCCCCCCCGCCCCGTTTTATGGAGGGACTTTGTTATGCTCAGGAAAAGAGCTGTGTTTATCTTTCCAGCACAGCTCCGGGGTTAGCGGGGAGCCTGTGACGGGGGCTCTATCAGCAGTAAAAAAAGCAGCTTTTTCCCTCCACAAAATAAATACAGAAGCTTCCTTTCCTCTAGATAAGGGACCAGTGATGGTGTGTCTCTCTGGGTGGTGGGACCCCAGTCCCGGCAGCCCCCGCTCCCTCCCGGTGCAATGAGCTCCAGCGATAGCTGCTCCCCAGGATCTGGCCCCTCTCCTCCTCCGCCATCGCGTGCCGGGCGGGGACTGCATGGCCCCAGCCGTCCTTCGTCCCCTTGGCCCATTTCCATGCTGCGGGCTGGGGACAGGGCTCCTGGGGGGAGCCAAGGCCTTCTGCAGGCGCATTTGGGGTGGCCTTTGGTATCCCCAGTGGCATGGCCTGGGCTGTGCTCCCGCCTGGACAGGCTTGTTGCACCCCCCAGATTTCACATGTGCGAGGTGCAGGCGTCCCGTGCCGCTGGCCGTGATGGGAACGTGAGCGGGGATGATTGCCTTTTTAAGAAGGACGTGGGGCACTGGACCTAATCCCAAGGCATGTAAACAGCAGGGGCTATTTTCTCCCTCTCCCACCCCCCTCCCCATCCCCATCTCTTTCATTTTCCCAGCAAAGGAGCGCTCAATTCAAAACAAACAAACATTCCTCACCAAATAAGGCAGATGACATTTTTTTGGGTCTGAACTTGTGAGTGTCCCTTTAAGCAGCCCTAGGCACCAGGCTCTCCACTCCGCTGTCCCCAAATCCCGCTGCCCAAAGCCGCTCGCTGGTCGGCTGAGCCGTGAGCGGGGCTCTGGCTCCGTGCGGCACCGATGCCGCTGCAGTGCCGCTCCCACAAGCAAGTCCTTTAGATTTTTTTCCCTTCTCTTCGACCTCCTTGAATGCCAGCGACCTGCTCCCAGGCGGCTGCCCACCCGAGGTACGAGCATCGCCCATCGGACCCGCAACTTCTTATTTCTCCTGCAGAGCTTGAGCCACGCTTGCAGCACAGAGGGGCCTGCAGGACCCCCGCCCCCCCCAGGGCTGGGGACGCCACACGAGGGGCTGCTTTTGCAGCTTGGCCAGGCCTATTCATTCGCTCCAGCTCCCATTTTTCTTACGGACGGCTCTGCCTGAACTGATGCTTGGGAGAAGTTAATTACAGCTTGCTCCTGCGGCAGGCTCCACTGCAGCTCGCAGCTCCCATGCTGGGCTGATGCTTGGGGAGGCTGGGGGGGGTTCCCAGCAGCTCC